GATGAAAAATCTAATTTTTGGTGAAAAAATCTTATTTTTGATGAAAAATCGTATTTTTGATGAAAAATCGTATTTTTGATGAAAAATCGTATTTTTGATACAAAATGAAATTTTTGATAAAAATGAAGTTTTTGATAAAAAGTCTGAACTAGAACTGGAGTAGAACTGAACTAGAACTGAAATAGAACTGAATTAGAACTGAACTAGAACTGAACTATGAACTAGAACTGAACTAGAACTGAACTAGAACTGAACTAGAACTGAACTAGAACTGAACTAGAACTGAACTAGAACTGAACTAGAACTGAACTAGAACTGAACTAGAACTGAACTAGAACTGAACTAGAACTGAACTAGAACTGAACTAGAACTGAACTAGAACTGAACTAGAACTGAACTAGAACTGAACTAGAACTGAACTAGAACTGAACTAGAACTGAACTAGAACTGAACTAGAACTGAACTAGAACTGAACTAGAACTGAACTATAACTGAACTAGAACTGAACTAGAACTGAACTAGAACTGAACTAGAACTGAACTAGAACTGAACTAGAACTGAACTAGAACTGAACTAGAACTGAACTAGAACTGAACTAGAACTGAACTAGAACTGAACTAGAACTGAACTAGAACTGAACTAGAACTGAACTAGAACTGAACTAGAACTGAACTAGAACTGAACTAGAACTGAACTAGAACTGAACTAGAACTGAACTAGAACTGAACTAGAACTGAACTAGAACTGAACTAGAACTGAACTAGAACTGAACTAGAACTGAACTAGAACTGCACTAGAACTGAACTAGAACTTAACTAGAACTGAACTAGAACAACTAGAACTGAACTTGAACTGAACTAGAACTGAACTAGAACTGAACTAGAACTGAACTAGAACTGAACTAGAACTGAACTAGAACTGAACTAGAACTGAACTAGAACTGAACTAGAACTAATCTAAAATTAAACTAGAACTAACAAAAAACGGAGTAAAAGTTTTCTAAAGTCAAACTTTTTCACACAAAAAAGTTTTCTAAAGAAAATATTTTTACATTCCAGTTTCTAATCGTTTTGTAGACTTTGAATACATGGAAGTCAGTATGCCAAAGGTATGCCAGGCTGCCGTTGTAATGCCTGTCCAGGCACAAGCCAGATTGGCCCGTATTTGGGCGACACACTATAAAGATAATCTACATCCCTTCATACAATCACTACAACAGTTAATAGCTTTACAAGTAATGCTGGACGAAGATGCTGTACAAGAGAATCCCGATGTTATAGCCATAACCAAAGTTTTAAAGGTAGGAACAAAATGATAAAAAAAATAATTTATAGACCAAGTTAGACAATCTTACCATATGATTTAGATTGTTTTCTATGCCAACATATTGGCGGGAGAAGTTGATGCCTATAATATATCAGCGGCCGGCAAAGAATCTGCGGCCGAGGCAGATGCAGCTTCCAGCTCTTCGGGGGCAGCTGGCTCTTCCAACGATGACGATAATATATTCCACTATAATCAAATACTCTATCCTTATCATGCGGCCTTTGCTGAGGATAAACTGGAAAAGGAATTAAATATTTCCTGTATGGATTGTCGTGTTCCTTTAGTGCCCTATGAAGAGTTTTACAATGAAACGCTAAGTGATGCCATACAAATGGATCGTGATTATTTAAGCTATAAGAATTTATCGCTAGATCCTCTAGGAGTAGATAGTTTAGGTGGGTTTTATTGCAAACAAAATGTTTCTTTTTTTTTTTATTAAAGTTTTCCACTTGCAGGAAATCATTTCTCCTTTATGCTGTATTCTTTTATCTTGACCCCGGCCACCAAAGTTATTGCTTTATATTACGATAGTCGCATACGCATGTACAGTGAACGCAATTCTTCCCTTTATTCATTATTATACTACTACGATGGCAATGAGGTGGTGGCCCAACCAAATCTAAAACTAAAAGTTCGTCGTGATAATATTGTTAATGATGCTTTAATAGGGGTAGGTGTTGTATTGTTGTTCTTCCCTATAGAATTATTTGGGAATTTAAATTTTCATTTTAGCTGGAACTAGTGGCCATGAGCAATCCAAAAGACTTGAAAAAACAATTGGTAGTGGAATTTGTGGGTGAACAGGGCATAGATGAGGGTGGCGTTTCAAAAGAGTTCTTTCAATTAATCGTCGAGGAACTATTTAATCCCGATTTTGGCATGTTTACACATCAGGAAGATACCAATACAATGTGGTAAGTGGAGCAATAATATTAAACCAGACTCAGCAGACTTGCCAAGCACAATAGCACTCTCTCTCTCTCCTTTACAATGACTTTCGAAGATGTCCTTTCTTCATCATTTATTTTTGTTACTTTTCTCTAGGTTTAATTCTACTCCCTTCGAAAACGAAGCACAATTTACTTTGATCGGCATTATCATAGGTTTAGCTATTTACAATAACATAATTTTGGCTGTGAATTTTCCCATGGTAGTGTATCGTAAACTCATGGGTGGTCGTGGTTCCTTTTATGACCTCCAAGATTGGAATCCCACACTCTATAGAAGTCTAAAGTCAATGCTCGATTATGAGGAACCCGATATGGAAGAAGTTTTTATGCAAACTTTTAAAATAAGCTATAAAAATGTTTTCGATGAAGTAGTCGAACATGAACTGAAACCGGGTGGTGGTGAAATAGTCGTATGCCAAGAGAATAAGCGTGAATTTGTTGATTTATATAGTGATTTTTTGCTCAACAAAAATATTGAAAGACAATTTAAAGCCTTCAAAAAAGGTTTCGATATGGTAACCGATGAATCGCCTTTGAAATTGTTATTCCGACCGGAGGAGGTAGAACTGTTGGTGTGTGGCAGTCGGGTAAGTAATTTATACTTCTTTTAAAACCCTTTTAATCGGCATCAAACTGTTTATACCACCTTTAGAAATTCGATTTTATGGAATTGGAGGATTCTACAGAATATGAGGGTGGCTATACTAAGGAAACTCAAATTATCAAAGATTTCTGGAGTATTGTACACAATCTACCCGAAGAATCGAAACGTAAACTATTGGAATTCACTACCGGTTCAGATCGAGTGCCGGTGGGTGGTTTAAGTCGCCTTAAATTGTTGATAACACGTCATGGTCCGGACAGCGATCGTTTACCTACTTCTCACACTTGTTTCAATGTTCTTTTGCTGCCCGAATACAGCAGCAAAGAAAAACTAGAGGAAAGACTTTTAAAGGCCATTAACTACTCTAAAGGTTTCGGTATGTTGTAAACCCACAACCCTTACGTACTTTAAAGAGTAAGAAAATTAAACTAAAGTAACGAATATTAATCATTAACAGCCAAATATTTTGTATATTGTTTGTTTAAATAAGTATGAATAATGATGGATAATGGAAAGTCTTAAATAGTTTATTTTAAAGTTAGTTTTAATACTTATATTTTTAAAACTCCTTTAACATAAACTTAATAAACTCTTTTTTTTAAGACTTTATGTGTAAAACGAAGACCACCTAACTTCTAAAAGAAACATATAAAACGCTACTGCTTGTTTGAGAAAAACTTAAGAAAACTACTTTACTTTAAGAACACTACATACATACATATTTTCACAAAACTCTTTAAACAAAAAAATGAAATCATTTACTTTTACACATTTTTTTATACTTATAAGCTTTTTTCTTCTACTTACTAGTAGCCCTGTTTATTATTATCATTTTCGCTAATTTATTATTTAAATATTTAAAACATTTTAAATATAATATACATATATTATTGGCATTTTATTTTTTATATATGTAGATAAGTCGCCGAGAGTGGTTTTACTGAAATTTTAGATCCTACTCTCTTATCTCTTCCTTCCATCCAATTGCTCCCCCATTTATCTTTTTTTGTAAATAAAGTCTTTTTTTTTTAATTTAACGAAAAAAAGCAACTAAAATTAACTGTGTAAATAGTCTCAAAGAATGTGTGTGAAAAAGGGTAAAAATATCGGGTTTTTTGACAAAGTTTTGGTGTATAGTGTTATTAAAATGAAAAGTATAGCTGCATTAACAAACAATTTGTTTGGGGTAAATAGAAATAAAAAGAAAAAATTGGGTCCTTTAAATATGTGTACTAATGTACTATATGATTTGCAATAACAATTTTGAAACTTTATGTAGGCGATTTCAAAACAGCCAGAAAAATCGCTAAACGCTTAAATATTATAATCTGGCATTACCAAATTTTTAAAACATTACTCTCAGAATTTTTATCTAACTAAAACTAGTGTTGCCACACTTTTTTTTAATAAAAAAAAATATTTTCAAATATTTCCCACAAACAAAATTTTTAGATATTTGTTCTGAGCAAAGTTTTTTTAGAAATGTTTATTTCTATCATACATCTTCTTAAAAAAGTTGTTTATGGCAAAGTTTTCTTTCAAAAAAATTTAGTTCCGAACAATTTTTTTTTGAGAAACCAATGCATTTAAAAGTTCTTAGGTTTCTGTTTGATTTCCTAACGAAAAATTGATTATCTACAAAAATTCTTATTCTATGTTTAATTTCCTACACATTCTAATGATTTTACCTTAAAATCCCCGTTATTTTTCAGGATTTACTAAAATTTAAACATGGTGGCATCACTTATCTTTTGCTCTTTTTGGTTGGTTTATCTCCCCTTAAAATCGTTAATTTCCCCACTTTATACAAATTCTTATAAGATGCCTTTTAAATAAAAAATTCTTATAAAATTACAACTTTATTTAATGTAAAGTTACAATTTATACACAATTTCATATGTTTCTTTGTAAAAAATTCATTTTCTTTAAAAAAAATCATGTATATTTTGAATTATTTACAAATTTAATCATTTTCCCTTAAAAATCCCCTTTATTTGGTTTTTCTTATTAATTTCCCCACGTGGCAACACTAATTTCCGTTATCTGAGTGGCACTCTCTCAAAATAGTCAGTGTATTTTTGCTCCTCTTCTTATTAGCTCAAAAAATTCATTATACTAAAATAAATAAACATAAATAAAATTTGTTTTGTTTAATAAAATTCATTTAGTATTTTACTTTTGTCGCGTTTGGAGGCATTTTAAGAAACTATAATAAATACTCGCTTGTTTTAAAGGAAATTTAATAAACAAATTTATTGTTTAAGTGATTTTTTTTCTACCAGCATTTAATTACTTTGAAAATTTTTTTTGTTTTATAAATTAACATGATATACTAAATTAAAATTAAAGAATAAACATAAAGTGCCATATTAAGTTAATAACAGCAAGAAAAAAAACATTAATAAAATGTTTAAGTTACACAAAATAACTAAAAGCCTTTGCAGGCTTTTAGTACTTTTGTTTCTCTACAACATATGCCTGTTAAGCGGGGTGTCAGCGGCGGGAGGAGATTTAACCGAAGCCGAGGAAAAGGCGGCAGTATTGGATGGTATGTATATGGAAAAATGTCTCAGTTTTTTTTTTTGTTGATTAATATATATTTTTTACGATTTTTTGTTAAATTTTCTTTATTGTTTATAATTTGTCGGCCGGCGTTGTTTTAATTTTTGATTTGCAAAGGAATGGCAAGGGGTAGTAGGGGGTTTCGTTTTGGAATATAGTAGATTTATGTTGTATATACAATTTCATATTATCATTTATGAGCTCATTGTTTTAGTTTTCTTATTTATTTGTGTTATTTCGTTTGCACAATGAAATGCATACATTTCGCTCCCGCCTTCCTGCTTGCACGTTCCGGCCGGCCACTTGCATCATGCAAATGCTTACCAGCAGTTTGTAATTTGTATTTTTTAGAATGTTCTTTTTCGTTGCGAGATAAATATAAAGATTTTTTTATAATACCTGGAGTAAATACATGGAAAATTAGTAAAGGATTAGTTAATTTTAGGGTTTTGAAAATCAACAAGTTGTTTATGGGTTGACAAGGATTGGGTACAAGTGATTACTTTCAAAATGATGTCATATTTTTGTTAAGCTCTTCTTTGTTGTGGTTGCTGATTAAGTTAAAACTTTAACGAAATTTTGTTTTTGATAAAATCTTTTTTAAAGAAATTTTAGACTATAGACTAGACTATAGACTAGAATATAGACTAGACTATAGACTAGACTATAGACTAGACTATAGACTAGACTATAGACTAGACTATAGACTAGAATATAGACTAGACTGTAGACTAGACACTAGACTATAGACTAGATAGACTAGACTATAGACTAGACTATAGACTAGACTATAGACTAGACTATAGACTAGACTATAGACTAGACTATAGACTAGACTATAGACTAGACTATAGACTAGACTATAGACTAGACTATAGACTAGACTAGACTATAGACTAGACTATAGACTAGACTATAGACTAGGCTATAGACTAGACTATAGACTAGACTATAGACTAGACTATAGACTAGGCTATAGACTAGACTATAGACTAGACTATAGACTAGACTATAGACTAGACTATAGACTAGACTATAGACTAGACTATAGACTAGACTAAAGACTAGACTATAGACTAGACTATAGACTAGACTAAAGACTAGACTAAAGACTGGACTATAGACTAGACTAAAGACTGGACTATAGACTAGACTAAAGACTGGACTATAGACTAGACTATAGACTAGACGATAGGCTAGACTATAGACTAGACTGTAGACTAGACTATAGACTAGACTAGACTATAGACTAGACTAGATTAGACTAGACTAGACTAGACTAGACTATAGACTAGACTATAGACTAGACTATAGAATAGACTATAGACTAGACTATAGACTAGACAAGACTAGACTATATACTAGACTAGACTATAGACTAGATTATGGACTAGACTATAGACTAGACTATAGACTAGACTATAGACTAGACTATAGACTAGACTATAGACTAGACTATAGACTAGACTATAGACTAGACTATAGACTAGACTATAGACTAGACTATAGACTAGACTATAGACTAGACTATAAACTAGACTATAGACTAGACTATAGACTAGACTATGGACTAGACTATAGACTGGACTATAGACTAGACTATAGACTAGACTATAGACTAGACTTTAGACTAAACTATAGGCTAAACTATAGAATATACTAAGGACTAGACTATAGATTATTCTATAGAATAGACTATAGACTAGACTATAGACTAGATTATAGACTAGACTATACACTAGACTATAGACTATAGACTAGACTAGACTAGACTAGACTATAGACTAGACTATAGACTAGACTATAGACTGGACTATAGACTAGACTATAGACTAGACTATAGACTGGACTATAGACTAGACTATAGACTAGACTATAGACTAGACTATAGACTAGACTATAGACTAGACTATAGACTAGACTATAGACTAGACTATAGACTAGACTATAGACTAGACTATAGACTAGACTATAGACTAGACTATAGACTAGACTATAGACTAGACTATAGACTAGACTATAGACTAGACTATAGACTAGACTATAGACTAGACTATAGACTAGACTATAGACTAGACTATAGACTAGACTAGACTATAGACTAGACTATAGACTAGACTATAGACTAGACTATAGACTAGACTATAGACTAGACTATAGACTAGACTATAGACTAGACTATAGACTAGACTATAGACTACACTATAGACTACACTATAGACTAGACTATAGACTACACTATAGACTAGACTATAGACTAGACTATAGACTAGACTATAGACTAGACTATAGACCTGACTTAAGACTAGACTATAGACCTGACTTTAAACTTTATATAAACTTAAGAAAAACTATGACTAACCCATAGCCTTAACTGTAGACTTAACTGTAAATTAAACTCGAAACTAAACTTGAGATAACAATTCTATAAATATTTTGCTCAAATTCTTAACTCAATTGCACCCACTTTTTTCTATTTCCTATATAACATCTTTTAAACATTATTTTCCATTATTCATTACCCAAAAATTATTCATAATTTCTTATCTATGTTCATTTTAAAGAACCCTCAAAAGAAAAACTATTCTCGAATATTGACCTTTTTCCCCTCCTCTCACATTTTATGACAATAATTCAACAAAGATTCTAACTTATCACTTTTTAGAATTTTGAGATTTGACCCCTTTTTTAATAAAAGCAGCCTTAGTTTTAATATTTATTATTAGTTTTAAAGATAAGAGTTTTTGTTAAACCATGATTAAAAGAACTACATATTATAAAAGGAAATACTTAATAATAAAAAAATATAAAAGATATTATGCACTTTATTTAAAATCATATTACAACACAGATTTTATTTTAAAATATTATTATGCATTTTTCCTTGTTTAAATTCATACACAAACTATTTTTGTTTTGTTTCATTCAAATTTAAGTAACTGTATTCTTTTTTTATATAAAAAATATCTTATTTAAAACTTGTTTAATAAACAATTTTTTAATTTGATCCCTGTTTTTCTAAAAAACACTTTATTCGTTGTATTCTACAATTTTTTAATGCCTACAACAGTCTAAACAGGTTTCGTTTTAAAATTAATTGTCTAAAGAATCAATGGCTACAATTTCGTTTAGAATTTAGTATAGTATATGTATAAGAAAATGTATTTTATTGTCTTGCTATTATATTATTTTAATTCCTTTGTTCTTTTCTTTATTTTTCACTTTTTTCCAGCCAAAGTTAAAGTGTTCACTGTAGCCACAGAAGAAACTGATGGTTTCTTGCGTTATATTCGCTCAGCTAAAGTTTATGGTATTGAGGTGAGTGAGTTTTAATAATAACAATAACAATAAATTAGAGTTAATAACAATAGCTACAACAACAACAACAACAACAACCGGAGAAAAATACATAGAATTAAAAATAAATGAATGAAAATTGACACCTTTAAAAGAAAATTATGGTTTTTAAATAAAACGAATAAACATTCTAAATAACACCATTTCCCAGAGAAAATCTAGATCATAGACTAGACTATTGAGTACTTTAGAGACTAGGCTATGGTACTATAGTACTATAGACTAGACCATAGTACTATAGACTAGACCATAGTACTATAAACTAGACCATAGTTTTACACTTGGCTTTAGACTAGATTTCGGAATAATCTTTAGAGCTGACTTTAAGCTAGAATTTACACTAGACTATGAAACTGCACTGGAACAGTATTAGAATAAAACTAGAACTGAACTAGAACAGTACTAGAAAAGAAGTAGAAAAGAACTAGAACAGAACTAGAACAGAAGTAGAACAGAACTAGAACAGAACTAGAACAGAACAGAACTAGAACAGAACTAGAACAGAACTAGAACAGAACTAGAACAGAACTAGAACAGAACTAGAACAGAACTAGAACAGAACTAGAACAGAACTAGAACAGAACTAGAACAGAACTAGAACAGAACTAGAACAGAACTAGAACAGAACTAGAACAGAACTAGAACAGAACTAGAACAGAACTAGAACAGAACTAGAACAGAACTAGAACAGAACTAGAACAGAACTAGAACAGAACTAGAACAGAACTAGAACAGAACTAGAACAGAACTAGAACAGAACTAGAACAGAACTAGAACAGAACTAGAACAGAACTAGAACAGAACTAGAACAGAACTAGAACAGAACTAGAACAGAACTAGAACAGAACTAGAACAGAACTAGAACAGAACTAGAATAGAACTAGAACAGAACTAGAACAGAACTAGAACAGAACTAGAACAGAACTAGAACAGAACTAGAACAGAACTAGAACAGAACTAGAACAGAACTAGAACAGAACTAAACAGAACTAGAACAGAACTAGAACAGAACTAGAAACAGATCTAGAACAGAATTAGAACAGAAATAGAACAGAACAGAACTAGAACAGAACAGAACTAGAACAGAACTAGAACAGAACTAGAACAGAACTAGAACAGAACTAGAACAGAACTAGAAACAGAACTAGAACAGAACTAGAACAGAACTAGAACAGAACTAGAACAGAACTAGAACAGAACTAGAACAGAACTAGAACAGAACTAGAACAGAACTAGAACAGATCTAGAACAGACTTAGAACAGAAATAGAACAGAACTAGAACAGAAACTAGAACAGAACTAGAACTAGAACAGAACTAGAACAGAACTAGAACAGAACTAAAGAACAGAAACTAGAACAGAACAGAACAGAACTAGAACAGAACTAGAACAGAACTAGAACAGAACTAGTACATAACTAGAACAGAACTAGAGCAGAACTAGAACAGAACTAGAACAGAACTAGAACAGAACTAGAACAGAACTAGAACAGAACTAGAACAGAACTAGAACAGAACTAGAACAGAACTAGAACAGAACTAGAACAGAACTAGAACAGAACTAGAACAGAACTAGAACAGAACTAGAACAGAACTAGAACAGAACTAGAACAGAACTAGAACAGAACTAGAACAGAACTAGAACAGAACTAGAACAGAACTAGAACAGAATTAGAACAGAACTAGAGCAGAACTAGAACAGAACTAGAAAAGAACTAGAACAGAACTAGAACAGAACTAGAACAGAACTAGAACAGAACTAGAACAGAACTAGAACAGAACTAGAACAGAACTAGAACAGAACTAGAACAGAACTAGAACAGAACTAGAACAGAACTAGAACAGAACTAGAACAGAATTAGAACAGAACTAGAACAGAACTAGAACAGAACTAGAACAGAACTAGAACAGAACTGGAACAGAACTAAAACAAACTAGAACAGAACTAGAACAGAACTAGAACAGAACTAGAACAGAACTAGAACAGAACTAGAACAGAACTAGAACAGAACTAGAACAGAACTAGAACAGAACTGGAACAGAACTAGAACAGAACTAGAACAGAACTAGAACAGAACTAGAACAGAACTAGAACAGAACTAGAACAGAACTAGAACAGAACTAGAACAGAACTAGAACAGAACTAGAACAGAACTAGAACAGAACTAGAACAGAACTAGAACAGAACTAGAACAGAACTAGAACAGAACTAGAACAGAACTAGAACAAACTAGAACAGAACTAGAACAGAACTAGAAAAGAACTAGAACAGAACTAGAACAGAATTAGAACAGAACTAGAACAGAACTAGAACTGAACTAGAACTGAGCTAGAACAGAACTAGAACAGAACTAGTACAGAACTAGAACAGAACTAGAACAGAACTAGAACAGAACTAGAACAGAACTAGAACAGAACTAGAACAGAACTAGAACAGAACTAGAACAGAACTAGAACAGAACTAGAACAGAACTAGAACAGAACAGAACTAGAACAGAACTAGAACAGGAAATAACAGAACTATAACAGACTAGAACAGAACGACTGATTCAAAAATAAAAACAAATCAATTCTTGAACTCTAAATTAATTATATGAAAGTCTTTCTATCTTTTTTAAAAATACCGCTGCGTAAAAACCACAATTAGTTCGAAATTGTATTTGTTCAGTTTCTTTTGTATTTTTTCCATATTTATTAATTTTATTGTTAAACATTTCAATCATATAAAATTGTTTATTTATGACTTTTTCTATCTATTTTGTTGATTAGTTTAAATTAATGATTTATTTAACTATTGACGCTCTAAAGATTCTTGTTTCTTGTGGTTATTTTATTGAGAAATAACGCACTGAACTATAAACATTTAGTTAAAAGAAACAATTTAAATAAATATAAAAACAAACCGGTTGGTGTTGTTAATTGAAGAGCTCCTCAATATGAATATTAATTGCTTTGCAAACGTTGGGACGGATGGGTTTTTATTTATTTCTTGGAAAAAATATAAAATTTTAAAGTTTACTTTAAGCCGGTGTTAGAAAGTACCTTTTTGTTGAAAAGCTTGTGGGGGGTTTAAAAGATTAGATAATAATGGATTTAAACAGGTTTTTGATAGATGGTATTTTTTAAGACAAATAATGAATGAAACAAGTGATCTTTTGTTTAAGAAATATAATAAATATTAATAAAATATTAGTTTAACTACTTCTTTTGGTAGTTTTGGTTTAATTTTTAACGTTTTATGTTTGATTATCAGGCTAATTAACTGCTAAAGTTTGACAGTTTTAATAATTAATTAAAAATAGGTTTTAAATTGTTTTAAATCTTTGTAACAAAACGTATTGTTTATTATAAAAAGTGATCGTTTTTCAAAAACATTTTACTCTTTCTTTTTACAACAATGCATCCGGTGTGTTTTTTTATGTTTTTTTTTTCTAATCATCATTTTCTTTTGTGTTCTATTCTTTAGTATATTTTTCAATTCATATTATGTTTACAATCTCTAACACATGTTAGAATCATTCCAAAGTATTTGAACTCTTCTCGCCTGTAGTTTTCGATAAAGTCTAGAAACACATCATCGTTTTGTGTTTTTTTTGTTTATAACGAATTTATTGTTGGTCGGCCAATGTGTGCCAGATTTTTTCCTTTTAGTATGAACACATATTTTTACAATTAAATATCTGTCCAAAATATTCAAATAACCATATGCAAGATTAAATGTCAGACGCATTGGTTAAATCGTGTATATAAAGTTTTCTTAAGAAAACAAGTAAAAAAAAAAACTTAATCATTCCTCTTATTTTAGTTTATTTATTTTGAGTCACGTACACATAATTTTTGTTTCAATCCACTACCATTTTTATTTCAATTAAATAGTATTTACTTGTTTTTGTTTATAGTCCATTCCTCCAAAAACTCATGCCGGTTTTCTTTGTTATATCAGTTGCTAGGAGTTTATATTATAATATGTTAACAACTGTGACGTTTCTGTTCTAAATGTTGACCTTTAAAGTCAAAATTTCTGATAAAGAAAAGCTTGATATTGAGCTCTTTTTGAATACCCGGTATCATAAATATAATTTTATGTTTGTTTTAATAATGTCACTTATGCAACTGATAAGCTTTCACTTTTTTTGGTTGATTAATATTAAAGATGATCTAGTTTTTTCTTTTAATTATTTATTATGATTTTATTGCTTCATAAGTACTCTTCAGTAGAACTGTTAAATTTGATGGTTAGTTTGAAATGTTTATTAACTTAAAGTTTTGTCACTGTTTTCTTAATCTTGTCACTCTTGTCAATATTTTCTTAAAGTCTAGGCTGAAGTCTAGTCCATAGTCTAGTTCATAGTGTAATCCATAGTCTAGTTCATAGTGTAATCCATAGTCTAGTCTATAGTCTAGTCTACAGTCTAGTCTGTAGTCTAGTCTACAGTCTAGTCTATAGTCTAGTTTATAGTCTAGTTTATAGTCTAGTCTATAGTCTAGTCTATAGTCTAGTTTATAGTCTAGTCTATAGTCTAGTCTATAACTAGTCCCTAATAGTCTATTGTCTAGTCGATAGACTAGTCTTAGTTAGTCTAGTCTATCATAGTCTAGTCCTATAGTCTAGTCTTTATCGAGTCTATAGTCCTAGTCTTTAGTTCTAGTCTATAGTCTAGTCTATAGTCTAGGTCTATAGTCTAGTCTAATAGTCTAGTCTAATAGTCTAAGTCTATAGTCTAGTCTATAGTCTAGCTAGTCTAGTCTATGAGTCTAGTCTTAGTCTCGTATATAGTCTATCTAAGTCTAGTCCTTATAGTCTAGTCTATAGTCCTAGTCTAGTCGAGTCCTTAGTTTAAGTCTAGTCTATAGTCTAAGGCTATAGTCCTAGTCCTATAGTCCTAGTCTAAGTCTAGTCTATAGTCTAGTCTATAGTCTAGTCTATAGTCTAGTCTATAGTCTAGTCTATAGTCTAGTCTATAGTCTAGTCTATAGTCTAGTCTATAGTCTAGTCTATAGTCTAGTCTACAGTCTAGTCTATAGTCTAGTTTATAGTCTAGTTTATAGTCTAGTCTATAGCCTAGTCTATAGTCTAGTTTATAGTCTAGTCTATAGTCTAGTCTATAGACTAGTCTATAGTCTATTGTCTAGTCTATAGACTAGTCTATAGTCTAGTCTATAGTCTAGTCTATAGTCTAGTCTTTAGTCTATTCTATAGTCTAGTCTTTAGTCTAGTCTATAGTCTAGTCTATAGTCTAGTCTATAGTCTAGTCTATAGTCTAGTCTATAGTCTAGTCTATAGTCTAGTCTATAGTCTAGTCTATAGTCTAGTCTATAGTCTAGTCTATAGTCTAGTCTATAGTCTAGTCTATAGTCTAGTCTATAGTCTAGTCTATAGTCTAGTCTAGTCTATAGTCTAGTCTATAGTCTAGTCTATAGTCTAGTCTATAGTCTAGTCTTAGTCTAGTCTATAGTCTAGTCTATAGTCTAGTCCTAGTCTAGTCTAGTCTAGTCTAGTCTATAGTCTAGTCTATAGTCTAGTCTATAGTCTAGTTCTATAGTCTAGTCTATAGTCTAGTTATAGTTAGTCTATAGTCTAGTCTTAGTCTAGTCTATAGTCTAGTCTATAGTTAGTCTATTAGTCTAGTCTATAGTCTAGTCTATAGTCTAGTCTATAGTCTAGTCTATAGTCTAGTCTATAGTCTAGCTATAGTCTAGTCTATAGTCTAGTCTATAGTCTAGTCTATAGTCTAGTCTATAGTCTAGTCTATAGTCTAGTCTATAGTCTAGTCTATAGTCTAGTCTATAGTCTAGTCTATAGTCTAGTCTATAGTCTAGTCTATAGTCTAGTCTATAGTCTAGTCTATAGTCTAGTCTATAGTCTAGTCTATAGTCTAGTCTATAGTCTAGTCTATAGTCTAGTCTATAGTCTAGTCTATAGTCTAGTCTATAGTCTAGTCTATAGTCTAGTCTATAGGTCTAGTCTATAGTCTAGTCTATAGTCTAGTCTATAGTCTAGTCTATAGTCTAGTCTATAGTCTAGTCTATAGACTAGTCTATAGACTAGTCTATAGACTAGTCTATAGTCTAGTCTATAGTCTAGTCTATAGTCTAGTCTATAGACTAGTCTATAAGTCTTGTCTAAAGTCAAGTTTAGGCTAAAGTCTAGTCTGAAGTCAAGTCAAAAGTCTAGTCTAAAGTTTGGTCTAAAGTCTAGTCTATAATCTAGTCTAGCCTTGTCAAGTCTAATCTAGTTTAGTCTAATCTATTCTAGTATAGTCTAATCTATAGTCTATATTCTAGTCTATGGTCTAGTGTAGCCTATTGTCCAGTCTAGTCTATAATCTAGTCTATAAACTAGTCTATAGCCTTGTCTATAGTCTAGTCTATAGTTTAATCTATAGTCTTGTCTATAGTCTAGTCTATATCTAGTCTACAGTCTAGTCTATAGTCTAGTCTATAGTCTAGTCTATAGTCTAGTCTATAGTCTAGTCTATAGTCTAGTCTATAGTCTAGTCTATAGTCTAGTCTATAGCCTAGTCTATAGTCTAGTCTATAGTCTAGTCTATAGTCTAGTCTATAGTCTAGTCTATAGTCTAGTCTATAGTCTAGTCTATAGTCTAGTCTATAGTCTAGTCTATAGTCTAGTCTATAGTCTAGTCTATAGTCTAGTCTATAGTCTAGTCTATAGTCTAGTCTATAGTCCAGTCTATAGTCTAGTCTATAGTCTAGTCTATAGTCTAGTCTATAGTCTTATCTATAGTCTAGTCTAGTGTATAGTCTAAAGTCTAGTCATAGGTAACATATAATCGAAATCTTAGTCTAGAGTTGGTTCTAAAGTCTAGTCAAAAGTCTAGTCTGAAGTCTGGTCTTAAGTCCTGACTAAAGTCTAGTCTAAAGTCTAGTCTAAAGTCTAGTCTAAAGTCTAGTCTTAAGTCCTGTCTAAAGTCTAGTCTAAAGTCTAGTCTAAAGTCTAGTCTAAAGTCTAGTCTAAAGTTTAGGCTAAAGTCTAGTCTGAAGTCTAGTCAAAAGTCTAGTCTAAAGTCTGGTCTGAAGTCTAGTCTAAAGTCTAGTTTAAAGGCTAGTCTAAAGTCTAGTCTAAAGTATAGTCTAAAATATAGCCTAAAGTCTAGTCTAAAATCTAGTCTAAAATGTAGTCTAAAGTTTAGTCCAAAGTTTAGTCTAAAGCCTAGTCGTCTAGTCTAAAGTATAGTTTAAACTTGAGTCTAAATTTTGATCTTAAGTTGTAATTAAAGTCTAGTCCAATATCTAGTAAAATATATAGACTTAGTTAGTTAGGTAGTTAGTTTGAAAGGAGGATGTATATACATCAAATCCGAAGAAATACACCTAGGCCTCTATCGGGCGTTGCGCTCCTTAACCAGTGCCTCAGGTGGGAATCGAACCCACCACCTCCTAAAATCTAGCCTAAAATGTAGTCTAAAGTTTAGTCTTAAGTCTAGTCTAAAGCCTAGTCGTCTAGTCTAAAGTATAGTTTAAACTTGAGTCTAAATTTTGATCTTAAGTTGTAATTAAAGTCTAGTCCAATATCTAGTAAAATATATATTCTTAGATATAGTCTACATAGTGTTTATGTCTAAGTCTAGTTTAAAATCTGGTCGAAAGTGTGGTGTTAAATCTTGTCGAATATCAAGTCTAAATATTATTTTATAATTTTCCTCCATTTCTTCTTTCTCCTCAGGTTACCCCTTTGGGTATGTATAAAAAATGGAAGGGTGGCGATATGGAGGGTCCCGGAGGTGGTTTCAAAGTTAACCTCCTCAGAGAAGCTCTAAAACCTCTGAAGGATGAAAAGGATACCATTATCTTATTTACCGATAGGTGAGTTTTAAAAACTTTTTAAATTAGGAAATTCTTTTACAATATCTTTTAACTGCCTCTAGCTACGATGTCCTTTTCACCACTGGCCTACCCGAAATTCTACAAAAATTCAAAGAGTCTAATGCCAAACTTTTATTCTCCGCCGAAAAATACTGCTGGCCTGATGAGAGTTTAGCTAATAAATATCCTGCTGTAGAACCTAATGCTTCACCCTACCTCAATTCTGGAGCCTTTATCGGTTATGCTCCACAAGTATGGGCTTTATTAGAAGCCGAAATTGCCGATACAGACGATGATCAATTGTACTATACTAAAGTTTTCCTAAATGAGGAATTGAGAAAGAAATTGGACATGAAATTGGATACCACCTCGATATTGTTCCAAAATCTTAATGGTGCCAAAGATGATGTTAAATTGGATGTAGATTTGGATACCAATGAGGGTGTTTTGAAGAATATTAACTTTTTGACCACTCCCAGTATTTTGCATGGCAATGGTCCTAGTAAATTGGAATTGAATGCATTTGCTAACTATTTGGCTAAGACTTTCAGTGGTACTTGTTTGTTGTGCCGTGAGGATCGTGTGGAATTGCAAGTAAGTTGCCCATCCGGAAAGCTCATTTATTTTAAAATAATTTGTTTCTTTTGTCAATTTCTAGGAAAACCAACTTCCCACTATTGCCTTATCCATTATGATTACCCAAGCTGTGCCTTTCTTTGATATGTTCTTAAACAAAACCGCTGAGTTAAACTATCCTAAAAATAAAATGCATCTTTTTGTCTATAGCGGTGTGGAATTCCATGATGCTTTGGCCAAATCTTATGTTAATCGCTATAAAAGTGAATATATTACCTCGAAAATTGTTTTATCCACCGATGAGTTTGATGAGAGAAGAGCTCGCCAATTGGCTTTGTAAGTTATTAGACTTTATTAGATTTAAATTTTAAATCATATTTAATTATCATATTTATTTTTCTTATAGACAACAAGCTCAACAGAATGAGGTGGACTATGCCTTCTTTATCGATGCTGATGTTCATATTGATGATCCTGATGTATTGCGTGAATTGTTGAGTTTGGATAAGTAAGTTTTTGAATTTTTGTTTTTTTGTTTGGGTCAAGGTTTTTATTTCTTTATCTTTCTTTTCTAATTCTTCTAGACAATTTGCTGCTCCTGTTGTTAGTAAATACAATGAATTGTGGAGTAACTTCTGGGGTGCTTTAAGTGAAGGTGGTTATTATGCTCGTTCTCCCGATTATGTTGATATTGTTAAGGGTGATATACTGTAAGTACAAATTCAATTATTTCTAAATGCTTTAGATAGACTATAGACTAGAATATAGACTAGACTGTAGACTAGACTGTATGCTAGACTATAGACTAGACTATAGACTAGAATATAGACTAGAATACAGACTATAATATAGACTAGAATATAGACTTGACTGTAGACTAGACTATAGACTAGAGTATAGACTAGACTAGACTAGACTATAGACTAGACTATAGACTAGACTATAGACTAGACTATAGACTAGACTATAGACTAGACTATAGACTAGACTATAGACTAGGACTATAGACTAGACTATAGACTAGACTATAGACTAGACTATAGACTAGACTATAGACTAGACTATAGACTAGACTACTATAGACTAGACTATAGACTAGACTATCGACTAGACTATAGCTAGACTATAGACTAGACTATAGACTAGACTTAGACTAGACTATAGACTAGACTATAGACTAGACTATAGACTAGATATAGACTAGACTATAGACTAGACTATAGACTAGACTATAGATAGTACTATAGATAGACTATAGGACTAGGACTATAGACTAGACTATAGACTAGACTATAGACTAGACTATAGACTAGACTATAGGACTAGACTATAGACTAGACTCTAGACTAGACTATAGACTAGACTATAGACTAGACTATAGACTAGACTATAGACTAGACTATAGAACTAGACTATAGACTAGACTATAGACTAGACTATAGACTAGACTATAGACTAGACTATAGACTAGACTATAGACTAGACTATAGACTAGACTATAGACTAGACTCTAGACTAGACTATAGACTAGACTATAGACTAGACTATAGACTAGACTATAGACTAGACTATAGACTAGACTATAGACTAGACTATAGACTAGACTATAGGACTCGACTATAGACTAGACTATAGACTAGGACTATAGACTAGGACTATAGACTAGACTATAGACTAGACTATAGACTAGACTATAGACTAGACTATAGACTAGACTATAGACTAGACTATAGACTAGACTATAGACTAGACTATAGACTAGACTATAGACTAGACTATAGACTAGACTATAGACTAGACTATAGACTAGACTATAGACTAGACTATAGACTAGACTATAGACTAGACTATAGACTAGACTATAGACTAGACTATAGACTAGACTATAGACTAGACTATAGACTAGACTATAGACTAGACTATAGACTAGACTATAGACTAGACTATAGACTAGACTATAGACTAGACTATAGACTAGACTATAGACTAGACTATAGACTAGACTATAGACTAGACTATAGACTAGACTATAGACTAGACTATAGACTAGACTATAGACTAGACTATAGACTAGACTATAGACTAGACTATAGACTAGACTATAGACTAGACTATAGGCTAGACTATAAACTAGACTATATACTAGACTATAGACTTGATATTGACTAGACTCTAGGCTAGACTATAGACTAGATTATAGAATAGACTTTAGACTAGACTATAGACTACACTTTTGGCTAGACTATAGACTAGTGTATAGTTTGCACTATAAATCAGACCGTAGATTATTCTGTAGACAGAACTGTAGAGAGATTTTAGTTTGCACTATAAAAGAGTTTATTTTAAAATCAAACTAAAATTATATTTTGTTTGAAAATTCTTTTACAAAAAATTTCTTAAATTTTTTTTTATTATTACGGTTGAAAATTTACAAAATGTTAAATAATATTAATATTAAAAAAAGAAAATCAACTTGGACTTTGTACTCTGCCATTTATATTTAAAACATTTCTCCTCTTCTATATGGCATACAATTTTCTGACAAATTGAGCACGACGAAAAAAACCGCAAACGTTTTAATCGAAAGCAATTGAAAAATCTGTTTTAAAACTGCGACGATCAATGGAATACATATTATCAGCAGTACATTCATATAAACCCAGCATCCATTTGGGTGGCAGGATCTATTTCAATTTTTGACTTAACACGATCATCGCCAATGCGCCATTCGTGGACCTAGGAAAGGGATTTGAAGTTGGTGGAAGTTAAAGAGAGGATTTTTTGAAAGAGAGTAGGCAAAACTTACATGCATGTAGAGATGTTGAAAGATTTCAGTGCCATCTTTATACCAGGTGATGTGAGGTCTAGGATTACCTTTGGCCACACACAGGAAAGCAATTTTATGACCCAAAACATATTCATAATCAAAATGAGAAGCCTGTAAGATTTTGGCACCCTTTTGTTAAAAAGAGAGAGAGAGAGATTAACAATTTTTTTAAAAGATGGTGTTTCTTAACTTACATTATTGTTATTATAATACTGATCAGATTCTGGATCCCGATATTTCCCTGTTATGGGCAAACCAATTTGCACTCTTGACTTGGTGCGACCTCTGCCACGACCACGTCTGCCCTCACTAACAGGACTACTTAAGATCAAAATACACACACATAAAGCCACAATCTTTATAGACATTTCAAAACCAACAATTTTGATTTGAATTTAAATGGGAAATTTCCAATTTCGAATGCCAACACGTTTTCAGTTTCTATAACAGACCTAAACGCGCTTTACACTCTTTGGTTTTTCTATTTTAAGACAAATTTAAATCTAAAATTTCCGCAAAAATTTTCAAACTAAATTTTGAGGTTTTCAACCGCTGCCTTTACATTTAACGACTAAATTTCAATTTATATTTTGTGTTGAATTCTACTAGTCTTCTATCCATAATGATTGTGTTGATGAGTTTTAACCATAGCTTTCCCAAGCTTTTGTTTGCTTTTTTTTTTCTTCCAGCAATTGTTTAATTTGTTGTGATTTGTGGCGATTTAGTTTGTATGTTTGGTTTTTCACCCCTTCCGCATCAGCGGAATAATACACATACATACTCAACAGCACCACCTTATACCAAGTGTCTGAGCATTTTATTCAAAAAAAAAAAAAAGAACTGAAAAATTAATAGAATTGCATGGGTCTTGTTTTAATGTAAACTCAAGAACAGTGGGCCAGCAGGTGGTAAATTTGTTGCTAAATGATAATAATTGTGTTCAAGTGAAAGTTTTTAAGCTTTTTTTATTTGTATACCTCTGGGTCAAGTATAAACGTTTGGAATTTGAAAAGCTTTTTTCCTCTAAATTTAAAAAATATTTAAATTAGGATTTAAACTATTATATAATCTTGTCTTAAGTCTTATTATTGAATAGGAATTCAACAGCAGATTTAATAGACATTTTCCGGTTATACAAAACGAATTTTATTAGATTTTTTTTGAATATTTACAAATTTCCAAAAAAGTTTATAAAGTTTTCAATTTATGAAAATTTTTAAAATTTTTTAAAAAATTTTGAAAATTTCAATATTCGAAATTATGTTCGAATTTTTTCGAACATCCCAAAATTGCTTAATATTTATAATTTTATTACTTTTAATTAAAAGTTTTAATAATTTTGCTAGAAATCGTCAAATTTTCAATTTTCGAAAATTCGAACTTAATTTCGAAATTTTTTCGAACATTACAAAATTGCGAAATTTTTATATTTCAAGTAGTTCTATAAACATTTTCAATATTTTGCTAAAAAATTTAAGAATTTTCAATGTTCGAAAATTTGAAATTATGTTCGAAAATTTTCGAACATTAAAAAATTGTGCAAAAAAGTTATTCTTATCTATTTTAAGTAAATTATAATAAAATTTTATACTTTTTCAATTTTTTTGTATTAAAATACAATTTCGAAAATTTGAAATTAATTTCGAAATTTTTTCGAACATTATAAAATTGCGAAATTTTTATATTTAAAGTAATTTTAATTCATATTTTCAATATTTTGCCAAAAAATTTAAGAATTTTCAATGTTCGAAAATTTTTAATTAAGTTCGAAAATTTTCGAACATCTAATAATGTATAAAAAAAATTATTTTTTAATATTTTTAGCATTTTTTATTGAAATATTCCACTTTTTTATATAAAAATCTAAAAGTTCGAAAATTCAACAATAAACTTCGAAATTTTTCGAATATAAACAAATTTCCTAAATTCAAAAATTTTCGAAAATTCAAAAATAAACTACGAAATTTTTCGAATATAAAAAAAAATTTCCTAAAAACTATTAAGTATAGATATTTACATTAATTTGTATTAAATTCGTCCCAAAATGTAACAATTCTGAATTTTTGAAAATTCGAAATTAGAATATTCGAACATTAATAAATTGTGTAAACAAAGAAAATTCGAAATTGACATCGAATTTTTTCGAACATTACAAAATTGCGAAATTTTTATATTTTATGTATTTTTAATTGAAATTTTCAATATTTTGCCTTTAAAATTGTAAAGTTTTCAATGTTCGAAAATTCGAAATTATGTTTAAAGTATTAAAAAATATGCAATTTTTTTCGATTTTATTACTTTTAATTAAATTTTTTAACGATTTAAAATTTTTTTGTATAATAATCTACAAATTTTTGAAATTCGAATAATCGCAATTAATTTCGAAATTTTTCGAACATTAAGAAATTGTTGAAAATTTTATATTTCAAAAATTTTCAATGGAATTTTAAACATTTTGACCAGAAATTTAAGATTTTTCGAACATTTCGTAATTTCGCGAAATTTTTTTGTCTAGAAACGGTGAAATTCATGATATTCGAAAATTTGAAAATTTTCGAAAATATTTTCGATTGAAATATAAAATTTTTTGATGTTCCGTTAGTTAGTTAGTTAGTTAGTTAGTTAGTTAGTTAGTTAGTTAGTTAGTTAGTTAGTTAGTTAGTAGTTAGTTAGTTGTAGTTAGTTAGTTAGTTAGTTAGTTAGTTAGTTAGGTAGTTAGTTAGTAGTTAGTTAGTAGTTAGTAGTTAGTTAGTTAGTTAGTAGTTAGTTAGTTAGTTAGTAGTTAGTTAGTTAGTTAGTTAGTAGTTATTAGTTATTTAGTTAGTTAGTTAGTATAGTTAGTTAGTTAGTTAGTTAGTTAGTTAGTTAGTAGTTAGTTAGTTAGTTAGTTAGTTAGTTAGTTAGTTAGTTAGTAGTTAGTTAGTTAGTTAGTTAGTTAGTTAGTTAGTTAGTTAGTTAGTTAGTAGTTAGTTAGTTAGTTAGTTAGTTAGTTAGTTAGTAGTTAGTTAGTTAGTTAGTTAGTTAGTTAGTTAGTTAGTTAGTTAGTTAGTTAGTTAGTTAGTTAGTTAGTTAGTTAGTAGTTAGTTAGTTAGTTAGTTAGTAGTTAGTTAGTTAGTTAGTTAGTTAGTTAGTAGTTAGTTAGTAGTTAGTTAGTTAGTTAGTTAGTTAGTTAGTTAGTTAGTTAGTTAGTTAGTTAGTTAGTTAGTTAGTTAGTTAGTTAGTAGTTAGTTAGTTAGTTAGTTAGTTAGTTAGTTAGTTAGTTAGTTAGTTAGTTAGTTAGTTAGTTAGTTAGTTAGTAGTTAGTAGTTAGTTAGTTAGTTAGTTAGTTAGTTAGTTAGTTAGTTAGTTAGTTAGTTAGTTAGTTAGTTAGTTAGTTAGTTAGTTAGTTAGTTAGTTAGTTAGTTAGTTAGTTAGTTAGTTAGTTAGTAGTTAGTTAGTTAGTAGTTAGTTAGTTAGTTAGTTAGTTAGTTAGTTAGTTAGTTAGTTAGTAGTTAGTTAGTTAGTTAGTTAGTTAGTTAGTTAGTTAGTTAGTTAGTTAGTTAGTTAGTTAGTTAGTTAGTTAGTAGTTAGTTAGTTAGTTAGTTAGTTAGTTAGTTAGTTAGTTAGTTAGTTAGTTAGTTAGTTAGTTAGTTAGTTAGTTAGTTAGTTAGTTAGTTAGTTAGTTAGTAGTTAGTTAGTTAGTTAGTTAGTTAGTTAGTTAGTTAGTTAGTTAGTTAGTTAGTTAGTAGTTAGTTAGTTAGTTAGTTAGTTAGTTAGTTAGTTAGTTAGTTAGTTAGTTAGTTAGTTAGTTAGTTAGTTAGTTAGTTAGTGAGTTACCAGATGTACAAACACTCTCTTCTATGTTACTCGTTTATACTCATTCAACATGATCAACGATCATTTTGAAAGAGTTTTTTTTTTTGTTTGATTTTATTAGTCTTTAGGCCCATTGTTGTTTTGTGTGGAAAAAACATTTCAATTTCGCTTTCAACTCTTTTTTCATTTATTTATCCATCATTTCGCATTTGCAATGATCGGATTTTTTAAACGTTTCTCTTGGTTAAAGATCACCACATCACTGTTGTTTACATTGCGATGATCACGATCATCATCACACAAACAAAACAGCCTATATTTTATTGTGTGTTCTTGTTTTTTAAATTAAATAATTTGCCATTATTTTTTTATATAAAAAAAAGGTTTATTTTTGTTGATCTGTCTGATCGTCATAACAAAAAAAAAAAAAAAAAAAATAATAAAAACGATCAAATCCAGAAACTAACCTGAAATTGTAATAATAAAAGAGTAGTTGTTCTAGAAGTATCCACCTTTAAGGAAAATTAGACTAAAAATAATTTATAACCATTAATTGAGCAATTTATAAAAGTTATTGAATTATAGAAACGATTTTAAAAGAGAATTTTCTTTTAATATTTTTTTTTATAAATTGCTCAATTACTTTAAAATTATTTAGCGTTTTTTTTTCTTAACCAATTATGAGTTTGTTTATTTTTATTTAAAATAAAATTTGGAAAAAGAAAAACGTATATAAAAAGTAGGAATAAATTTTAAGAATTTTAAAAGTTAACCATAACATAATCAGTGCGAAAACCTCGACGATCGATGGCATAAATATTGTCCGCTTGACACTCATAATAACCTAGAAACAGATCGATTAGTTTGAAAGATCATGAGTTTTAAGCAAAATTTAACTCTTACCAGCATCCATTTGTGTTGTGGGATCAATTTCCATTTTCGACTTGATAATATTATTGTCTATATGGGATTCATGGACCTAAAGGATAGGAATTTAGAATATTAATCACAACTATATGTTTTATTTTATTTCATAGAAATCTATATTAAAGTTAGTAAATAAACTCCGTTTAAACCGAAGATTAAAACTTTAAAATAGTCCGTCATTAATAAAAATGACAAAGCTACAGTTTTATAATTAAACTTAGTTTAAACCACACTCGAAAAGCAAGTTTAAGACTTAAGTTAATGCTAAACGAATACAAACATAATACTTAAATAAAATATGTCATATTTTTGCAAAAAAGGCACAGTTTTAAAATTAAACTTAGTTTAAACCACAAACCAAAAGCAAGTTTAAGGGCGATAAAGATAATCTGCATTCTTTGTTTAAACGTAGTTTAATATATGTTTTGTGTTTTTCAGTAAACAATAACGTTACTTATTATCTTAGTTTAACTGAGTGTTATTGGCCAATTAAACTTAAGTTATAAGTGAGAAGACACAATGAACAAAATCAATAAAACAATGATTTCGGAAGAACAAAAAACTTAATATTTTAAGTAAATTGCAATTTTCTGATTTGTTTTGTTTTATTTATTATTGTTTTAAATGTTTATTTAACATTTTACCAAAATTTTTCATTTTACAATAGTATTATTTGCAAAAAACAGCTGTTCATTGTTTATGTTTTTGAGTGAAAAGTTGGCAATACTAATAAAGTTAATTGAACTTAAATCCATAACTGAAAAACACAATCATCGGTTAAAGACCGCCTAAATTTGTTTCGAGTTTAAGCTAACAGCAAGTTAAGCCTAGTTTAACTGAGTAGTAAGAAACCCGCCCTTAGTGATTTCTGTTAAACTAAGGTGAAATTTTATGTTAAACTTAGTTTAAACTCCTAAATTAAATCAAGTTTATAGAAATTTTTTTATTAAATTTTAAATAAAATTAAAAAGGTAAATTAAAACTATAATTAATGTTAGCTAAACTCAAGTTTTAAACTTAAACTTAGTTTAAACCCCTGAAGGAAATGAAGTTTAAAACTGAAGTGTAATTGAAAACAACCACAAATCAAAAATATAATTTAAATAAATTAACCATTTTAAATAAACTTTACTTAAAACGTTAAACCTAGTTTAAACTGTTAACAAAAATTAAGTTTAAGGTCTGAAAATTACTTAAATGTATACAAATAATGAGCATAATTGTAATATAAAGGTTATTTTAGTAAAACGAGAATTTTAACATTAAAGATTTAGAGTTAAACTTAGTTTAAACTTTCGAAAAAAGCCAAGTTTAAGATTTAAAATTACATTTATATAAAATTTAAACCAAAAATAAAATGAAACTGATGATTGTTTTTCGAAAATATCAAGTTTGGAGTTAAACTTAGTTTAAACTTTTAAAAGAAGTTAAGTTTAAGATTTAAAATTCCACTTATATAAATTATAAACTAAAAGTTAAATAAAATTGATGATAATTTTTTTGAAAAATATTGAGATTTAGAGTTAAACTTAGTTTAAACTTTCGAAAGAAGTAAAGTTTAAGATATGAAAATACATTTAGATAAATTTTAATTAAAAACTAAAAGGAAACTGATGAGTATTTTTCCAAAATATTATGTTTTTGAGTTAAACTTAAAGTTTAAAACAAAAAAAATAGTTTTACAGGAATCTAAATACAAATTATAAATGGAATAGTGAATTTATTTTTAAGAAAAATAAGTTTTCAAGTTAAACTTAGTTTAAACTTGAAAATAAATTGATTTTAAAGTAAAAACATGTAAGGACGGGTTTCTTACTACTCAGTTAAACTAGGCTTAACTTGCTGTTAGATTAAACTCGGAACAAATTTAGGGGGACTTTAACCGATGATTGTGTTTTTCAGTTATGGATTTAAGTTCAGTTAACTTTATTAGTATTGCCAACTTTTCACTCAAAAACATAAACAATGAACAGCTGTTTTTTGCAAATAATACTTTTGTAAAATGAAAAATTATTGGAAAAATGTTAAATAAACATTTAAAACAATAATAAATAAAACAAAACAAATCAGAAAATTGCAATTTACTTAAAATATTAAGTTTTTGTTCTTCCGAAATCATTGTTTTATTGTTTTGTCAATTGTGTCTTCTCACTTATAACTTAAGTTTAATTGGCCAATAACACTCAGTTAAACTAAGATAATAAGTAACGTTACTGTTTACTGAAAACACACAAAACATATATTAAACTAGGTTTAAACAAAGAATCGGAAAAACCCTCCCTAGGAAACCGAGTTTAAAGCAAAAAAAAAAAAAAAATAGTTTTACAGGAATCTAAATCAAAATTTAAATAGTGAATTTATTTTTATTTTCAAGTTAAACTTAGCTTAAACTTTGAAAATAAACTGAGTTTAAAGTAAGAAAATAGTGGAAAACTAATTTAAATAGAGGAAATTAAAATGAAACTGATTATTTTTCTATTAGAAAGGGAAGTTTAAAGGAAGTTAACTAGTTTAACTATGGATTAAAATGAAGTTTAGTTGACAGAAATGCAGAGAAGTCAAGGTAAATGAAATAAATTTGATACAAGGAATTAAAGTTTAACATTTTAAACTTTAGTTATAAGTAAAACATTACTGAAGAAACGATGCTGATACAATTCGGCGCCATCTTTAAACCAGGTTATAGTAGGACGTGGATTACCTGTAATTGACAAATATTAAAAGATCATTACTTTACCTTATAAACTTAAGTTTACTTGCCTTCTGCCATACAAAAGAATGTGATCTTGCGGCCCAACGTATAATCCAATTCAAAATGAGAAGATTTTATAATTTTTGCACCCTGAAAGAGAAAAATACTTGTCACTTTTGACACTTTGTGTGACAGTGACAACAGGCTGTCACATAATTGTAATACAAATAGCTAACTTACATTTTCATGATCATAATAATTGGCGGCATCTGGTGTACGATGTTGTATTACTACCGGTTTTTTACCCGTATAATTACGTCGTAATACACCACGACCTCCCACGTTTCCTTAAATTGAAAACAGTTTTTTTTTTTACAAATTTAAATTCTCTTCTCTTTTATGATGCTCTTTTTTTTTTTTGAAGTACTTACTTTGAGCCTCGATTTCTTGACCATAAATTATGAAAATTGCAGAGAGAAAGAGTATTTTTAATAAGGAATTTTTGAAACACATTTTTTAAAAAAAATTGATTTAAAATGGATTTTTTTTTGTTAAATTTTCAATTTAAATTTGTTGTTTGGGTTTGTTGAGACTTTCTTCTACTACCGCTGTGTTTAGGGTTCAAATGTGTTTTACAAACTAAATTCAATTGTCATCAGACAGTGTCCCCTTAATGGGTTGGCTGGCTGCTGTAAGTTTTCTATACCCGCCCTCCCCCCCTCCAGCTATATAGTGTGTTTTTGTGCAAATCTGAAATCCACTTATTTTTTACTTTGTAGACAATTTTTTAATCTTATTATGAATTAGTTTAAATAAATGTGTTTTTGTTGTTTGAGATTCTTTTGTGAAGAATTCAAGTGACGTAGTTTTTTTTTATATATTTTTCTGTTAAACTTTTATTAAAATGTTACTCTCTTGAGAATTTTGTTGTTTATTTATTGTTATTTATTAATCTTTGTTTAATTTCAGTGGCATTTGGAATGTTCCCTATGTGTCCAGTATATATTTGATCAGAAATACTGCTTTCAAACATATCAACTATGAACATAAATATTTTGACCCCGATATGGCCATGTGTGATTCATTGCGGAATAAGGTAAGTGAGAAAATTTTAAACTAAAAAAACCGGAACTAAATATTAAAATACATTTTTTTTTAAACAAAAAATACGCATTTTCACATAAACCCATGTTAAACTCCCTGTATAATCTAAAATTTCCCAAAAAAATTACTGCAGTTAGTAAAAGCTCTAAATGATTTAACCGAATTCCTTAATTTTTCCAACTAAACTAGGAATTTTTATAGTTAAACTTAGTTTAAACCTGGTAATAAAGTAAAGTTTAGGCTTCCAAAACACTAGAAATTAAACTTAATTAGGAAAATCTAAGCTAATCAAAGATGTTTTTCTATAAAACTTACCATAAAAAGTTAAACTTAGTTTAAACTAGGCAACAAAGTTGAGTTTAGTCTTTCAAAACAACCAAAAATAAAACTTTATTAAGACAGTCTTAACAAATCAATGATTTTTTTCTATAAAACTTGCCGTAAAAAAGTTAAACTTAGTTTAAACTAGGCAACAAAGTTGAGTTTAGACTTCCAAAGCACTAGAAATTAAACTTTATTAAGAAAGTCTTAGGGCGGGTTTCTTACTACTCAGTTAAACTAGGCTTAACTTGCTGTTAGATTAAACTCGGAACAAATTTAGACGGACTTTAACCGATGATTGTGTTTTTCAGTTATGGATTTAAGTTCAGTTAACTTTGTTAGTGTTGCCAACTTTTCACTCAAAAACATAAACAATGAACAGCTGTTTTTTGCAAATAATACTTTTGTAAAATGAAAAATTATTGGAAAAATGTTAATAAACATTTAAAACAATAAGAAATAAAACAAAACAAATCAGAAAATTGCAATTTACTTAAAATATTACGTTTTTTGTTCTTCCGAAATCATTGTTTTTGTTAATTGTGTCTTCTCACTTATAACTTAAGTTTAATTGGCCAATAACACTCAGTTAAACTAAGATAATAAGTAACGTTACTGTTTACTGAAATCCGAAATAAAATTTTAACTTTGTTGTTTAGACAAAGTGATTTTAAAAGTTAAACTTGGTTTAAACCCGAGTAATAGTGAAGTTTATAACTTAAATATAGTGACATTGAATTATCATAAAATTGGACTCAAGAAAATATTCCAAAAGTGATTAAAGTTAAGAGGTCTCCAATATAAAATTCAGAAGAAAACTCAAGATTTAAAGCTGTTAGAAGATCGAAAAGTCGGAAATTTAGAATTAAAAAGATAACTCAAGAAACTAGGACGTCAGAAGCAGTTTAATTTGATGGTAGAGCACGTTTCAAGCAGGTTGAGAGAAAATCAAGAACAGAAATTAGATGAGACCAGAAATAACTTCAAGATCGGGGTTCAAGAATTTGAATATAAGTTTCGGCACACTCCAGAGGAATTGAAAGTCAAGAATATAAATTAGATGTGAAATGACTTCAAGATTGAGGTTCTAGAATTTGGTTAAAAGTTTCGACACTCCAGAGAAATTTAAATTTAGACTCAAGACTCAAGTATTGAAGAAGAAATCAAGTTAAAATCGACAAGAAAACTCAAGATTCAAAGATGTCAGAAGATCGGAAGGTCTAGAATTTAGAATTAAGAAGATTATTCAAGAAACCATGATGTCAGAAGCAGTTTTAGTATGAAGCTACAGCAAATTTCAAGCAGCTTGAATGAAAATCAAGACCAAAAATAAGTTGAAACCAGAAATCGGGTCTAGTATTTGGATATAAGGTTTAGAAACTCCAGAGGAATTTAATTTAAGACTCAAGTAATTGAAGAAGAAATCTTAAGTTAGAAAGACTACAAGTTAAAATTTAAAAGAAAATTCAAGATTCAAAGATGTCAGACGGTCGGAATTTAGAATATCTCAAGAACCCATGAAGGTATTATAATTTAGATTCCAGAAAATTATTGGATAAGAAAACATAAAATACGTGGACTTTCATCTAAAATGCAGGAGTAAATTCAAGATTCAAAGTTTTTAAAATGAAGAAGAAAATTCAAGATTTAAAGATGTCAGACGTTTGAAAAGTCGGGAATTTAGAATGAAGCAGATATCTCAAGATCCCGTTAAGAAGTTATAAATTAGATTCAAGAAATTAGTTAGAAAAAGAGAACATAAATAACAAGGACTTTAATCTAAAAAGGAGGAGTTAATTCAAGATACAAAGTTAACAGAAGATATGGGAAAGGAAATTCGAAAGATCGGTCTTCAATTAGTCAAGAAAACTCAAGATTCCAAGATAGCAGAAGTTGTTTAGAAACCATCAAGATATAACTCAATGAACCCAGAAGATTTCACAAAGTTCCGTTAACCTTAAGATCAACTATCAAGACCCCTATTAAAAACTCAAGATTTCCTCTTTTCCAGCGCGTTCACATGTTCATCATTAATGATCGCATCTATGGTCATTTAGTGCAGGCCGAGGGCTTCGATACCACCGTTGCACGTCCCGATTTCTATACTCTGTTCAGCAATAAATTCGACTGGATTAAGAAGTATATACACCCCAATTTCACGCAACAATTGGAGGCTAACTACACCTACATACAACCCTGTCCCGATGTCTATTGGTTCCAAATTGCTACCGATGCTTTCTGTGATGATCTAGTAGCCATAATGGAAAACTTTGGTAAATGGTCTGATGGCAGCAGTAAAGATGATCGTCTCGAGGGTGGCTATGAGGCATGTGCCAACACGTGATATTCATATGAAACAAGTGGGTTTGGATCAGTTGTGGTTGCAGTTTTTGAATTTGTTCGTAAGACCTTTACAGGAGAAGGTCTTTTTGGGTTATTTCCATAATGTAAGTTTTGTTGAGTTTTATTTAAAGAGAAAATTTAATTATTTCATATCCATTGCAGCCTGTTCGCTCCCTAATGAACTTTGTGGTGCGCTATCGTCCCGATGAACAACCCTTCCTTAGGCCACACCATGACTCCTCCACCTATACCATTAATATTGCCCTAAATCGTGCTGGTATCGATTATGAGGGTGGCGGATGTCGTTTCTTGCGTTACAATTGCTCGGTAACGGCCACCAAAAAGGGTTGGATGCTTATGCATCCAGGACGTTTGACTCATTATCATGAGGGTCTACGTGTGACCAATGGCACTCGTTATATTATGATTTCTTTTATTGATCCTTAAGCTGCAGGCAAAACATAAGAAAGAGGCCTTAAAAACTATCAGTCATTTGTATGATCGTTTCCTAGTTATCAACATATCCAAAGAACCATTAAATATTTTTTTATTCAAAAAAAAAATAAAAAAAATTCCTCCCGAATCTCTTTAGTTTCTATTAAGAATCGTCTATAGTTTATAAGTAATTTTTATAAAATCAATTCTTTAAAGAGATTCCCATTTGACTCATTTTCTTTTTACGTATCTTATAATTACGTTTTTTGTAATATTTTTCCTTAAAAACTGTTTGTTTTATTTTAGTTTATAGCTCATTAAACATTTTATACCATTTTTGTATAAAAAAAAACAACAACAACAACAAAATATTTTATATAAAAATAAAACATATTTCAAATAAAACAGAAAAATTAAAAAAATTAGTTTTATTGCTTTAAACTTTAAAGCCAAGTTTAACATTAAAAATAATTATAAACAAAATTAAAAACAAACTTTTAATATAATTTGCAAATTTTTATGTCTTAAACTGGGATTTTTATATTTAAACTTAGTTTAAACTCTTTAGAAAAGTCTAGTTTAAGAAACGACTACTATATAAAATGATTCTTGAACAAATTTTAAAATAAAGTTTTAAGTTTTTTTCAGGAAAAAAGTAAAGTTTAAAGTAAAACTTAGTTTAAACTCTCAGAAAAAATCAAGTTTAGGAAACAAAAAATTTATCAAACTATTCTAAATAAATGTTCGATTTGAAATTGTTGATGTTTTCTTGTGAAAAAGTCAAGTTTTAAGTTAAACCTAGTTTAAACTTTCTAGGGGCGGGTTTTTCAGATAAAGATAATCTACATTCTTTGTTTAAACCTAGTTTAATATATGTTTTTTGTTTTTCAGTAAACAGTAACGTTATTTATTGTCTTAGTTTAACTGAGTGTTATTGGCCAATTAAACTTATAAGTGAGAAGACACAATTAACAAAAACAATAAAACAATGATTTCGGAAGAACAAAAACATAATGTTTTAAGTTAATTGCAATTTTCTGATTTGTTTTGTTTTATTTATTATTGTTTTAAATGTTTATTTAACATTTTTCCAATAATTTTTCATTTTACAAAAGTATTATTTGCAAAAAACAGCTGTTCATTGTTTATGTTTTTGAGTGAAAAGTTGGCAATACTAACAAAGTTAACTGAACTTAAATCCATAACTGAAAAACACAATCATCGGCTAAAGTCCGCCTAAATTTGTTCCGAGTTTAATCTAACAGCAAGTTAAGCCTAGTTTAACTGAGTTGGAAGAAACCCGCCCTAGGAGATTCAAGTTTAAGAGACAATAAGTATCGCAAACGTTTCTTAATCAAAATTAGATACGAAATTGTAGAATGTTTCTGTAAAAAAGTTAAATTTAAAGTTAAACTTAGTTTAAACTTTTCCAAAAATTCAAGTTTAAGAGACAAGATATAGCTCAAACGTTTCTAAAACAAAATTAGAAAAAGAATTTTGGAATATTTTTTTTTTTTAGTAAACTTAAAAGTTAAACTTAGTTTAAACTTACCAGAGAAATCAAGTTTAAGATGCCAAATATATCTCAAACGTTTCTAAATTAAAATTAAAAAAGGAATTGTATAATTTTTTTGTGAAAAAAATTGAAATTTAAAGTTAAACTTAGTTTAAACTTTGGCAAAAATTCGAGTTTAAGAAATAAAAAAATATCGTAAACCATTCCCTATCAAAATTAAAAATTTATTTTAAACAAGGATTAAAAAAAGTTTTTGTGTTATTTGAAGAAAAGTCAAGTTTATTTATTATTCAAAAATATTTATACCACCACCCCTGCTTTCGATTTTAGCAACATGTTTACTGCTTCTGTATTTATTCACATCAACATGTTGCCAGTTAAACATGTTTATAAACATCTTTGTGTATGTTTCTCTTGTCACATGATTTTTTTCACTCTCGTATCATTCAAATAAAACAAACCGTTAAATAAAAACAACAAATGTTTCTGAAAAGCAAAAACAGCTGTTTTGTGTTATTTTTTTCTTCTTTGTATAAAAATGTCACTATTTAAGGACTTGCGCTCTTATCATTTTTTTGGGTTTTCTGCTCAATTTTGAGAGTGTGTCTGGAAATGATAAGAAAAACAGGAAATAAGAAATAAAACAGAAATTGTTATAAAAATAGTATGGGAAGTGTAGAATGTAAGAATGAGTCTTGAAATAAATTCTAACAGCAGGAGGTCGTGTTGAGCACTTTTGTTTTATTGTGGGGAGAAAGAACAACAACAACAAGGAATTGTATTTAAAGTGAGAGTGATAAAAAGAAGAATTTTATCAAGTGTTTGAACGGTGATGTCAATGTGGTAGACAGAAATGAAGCGTCTGACTAACGAACGAACGAACGAACGAACGAACGACTAACTAACTAACTACTAACTAACTAACTAACTAACTAACTAACTAACTAACTAACTAACTAACTAACTAACTAACTAACTAACTCTAACTAACTAACTAACTAACTAACTAATACTAACTAACTAACTACTAACTAACTAACTAACAACTAACTAACTAACTAACTAACTAACTAACTAACTAACTAACTAACTAACTACGAACTAACTAACTAACTAACTAACTAACTAACTAACTAACGAACTAACTAACTAACTACTAACTAACTAACTAACTACTAACTAACTAACTAACAACTAACTAACTACTAACTAACTAACTAACTAACTAACTAACTACTAACTAACTAACTAACTAACTAACTAACTAACTAACTAACTAACTAACTAACTAACTAACTAACTAACTAACTAACTAACTAACTAACTAACTAACTAACTAACTAACTAACTAACTAACTAACTAACTAACTAACTACTAACTAACTAACTAACTAACTAACTAACTAACTACTAACTAACTAACTAACTACTAACTAACTAACTAACTAACTAACTAACTAACTAACTAACTAACTAACTAACTAACTAACTAACTAACTAACTAACTAACTAACTAACTAACTAACTAACTAACTAACTAACTAACTAACTAACTAACTAACTAACTAACTAACTAACTAACTAACTAACTAACTAACTAACTAACTAACTAACTAACTAACTAACTAACTAACTAACTAACTAACTAACTAACTAACTAACTAACTAACTAACTAACTAACTAACTAACTAACTAACTAACTAACTAACTAACTAACTAACTAACTAACTAACTAACTAACTAACTAACTAACTAACTAACTAACTAACTAACTAACTAACTAACTAACTACTAACTAACTAACTAACTAACTAACTAACTAACTAACTACTAACTAACTAACTAACTAACTAACTAACTAACTAACTAACTAACTAACTAACTAACTAACTAACTAACTAACTAACTAACTAACTAACTACTAACTAACTAACTAACTAACTAACTAACTAACTACTAACTAACTAACTAACTAACTAACTACTAACTAACTAACTACTACTACTAACTAACTAACTAACTAACTAACTAACTAACTAACTAACTAACTAACTAACTACTAACTAACTAACTAACTAACTAACTACTAACTAACTAACTAACTAACTAACTAACTAACTAACTAACTAACTAACTAACTAACTAACTAACTAACTAACTAACTAACTAACTAACTAACTAACTAACTAACTAACTAACTAACTAACTAAACTAACTAACTAACTAACTAAACTACTTAACTAACTAACTAACTAACTAACTAACTAACTAACTAACTAACTAACTAACTAACTAACTAACTAACTAACTAACTAACTAACTAACTAACTGACACAGAAGATCCCTCTTCTTGACCTGAGGCTGGATTTCCCTCCAAGTTATTCATGCACGCTGACTAAACTCGCTGATCACGCTCTCTATTGGTTGTTTAGTTTGGAAAGGCGCCCATCGAGAGATCTCATCCTTTTCTTTCATCTCTACTTTTCCAAAGGCAAAGTTTCAATCCGTTCAATCCAATTTTGTGCAGAATTGCTCTTCAACAACATCATTTGTAACTTTTTCCAGCAAAAAAAACGCTAAATTAACATTATTGCGTCTTATACCGTTAGCAACATTTGTCAGCAACATTTGGAGAAAGATGTAAACAAAATTTAACTGTTATCTGTCAACTATTGTTGTTGTTGTGGTGAAACACTAAGAGAAATGAAACAGCGGCATTTGATAAAAAAACACAAAACCATACGTTTTTCTTTACATGGACGAGTGTTTATGTGTGTGCATGTGGAGGGTTTTGTTGCTCAACCAGAAAAAAAGTATAATCCATCAAATATTTCAATGTGTTCCACTCTAAAGTTTTTTAGTCGTTACTTATCAACCGTTGTGGGCATATGTATGGGGTTCGTTCTTTCGGTTTATAAAAATTTTCTCTACGGTTAAAAAAAAAAACAGCAAGACAGAAAGAGGAAATTTATAGAAAAATTAAAAGTTTTGTATAAAAAACGGTGTTTCCTAATATGAGCAAACATTTAAGAAAGGTTTTCTGAAAAAGGAATAACTTGTGGAAGAAAAAATTTTTTAAATTAATGAAAAAATTAAATTAAAAAAAAAATCAAAATTTATTTAATTAAAGTTAAAATATTGCAAATATTTTTTTATAAAAAAGTGAGTGCAAAATAAAAACCAGGAAGAGAGTGAAATTTTATTGTTGTTATTACTTTCCTGGAAACTACAAGTGTAAAAATCCTCCGGCAAAACCCAACAATTTCTTTTAAAAAACTTTAATATAACTTAAAAATTCCTAAAACGCTTTAAATTGTAAAATTTTCTAATAAAGTTCCTTATTTTTTGTTTTTCATCTTATAATCCTTAATGTTTTCCTTATTATTTCTTTACTCTCTTTTAAATTGCTCTCTTATTAAAAAAAACCCACATACACCTGCTCATAGCTGCCAGATTAGACGTCATGTAATGTCATTTTGACGTTTTTTAAAAAAAAGTATCAAAATTACTAGATCTGTTCTAGTTTAGTTCTTGTTCTGTTCTAGTTCTGTTCTAGTTCTGTTCTAGTTCTGTTCTAGTTCTGTTCTAGTTCTGTTCTAGTTCTGTTCTAGTTCTGTTCTAGTTCTGTTCTAGTTCTGTTCTAGTTCTGTTCTAGTTCTGTTCTAGTTCTGTTCTAGTTCTGTTCTAGTTCTGTTCTAGTTCTGTTCTAGTTCTGTTCTAGTTCTGTTCTAGTTCTGTTCTAGTTCTGTTCTAGTTCTGTTCTAGTTCTGTTCTAGTTCTGTTCTAGTTCTGTTCTAGTTCTGTTCTAGTTCTGTTCTAGTTCTGTTCTAGTTCTGTTCTAGTTCTGTTCTAGTTCTGTTCTAGTTCTGTTCTAGTTCTGTTCTAGTTCTGTTCTAGTTCTGTTCTAGTTAGTTAGTTAGTTAGTTAGTTAGTTAGTAAGTTAGTAGTTAGTTAGTTAGTTAGTTAGTTAGTTAGTTAGTTAGTTGTAGTTGTTAGTTAGTTAGCTAGCTAGTTAGCTAGTTAGTTAGTTAGTTAGTTAGTTAGTTAGTTAGTTAGTTAGTTAGTTAGTTAGTTAGTTAGTTAGAGTTAGTTAGTTAGTTTTAGTTAGTTAGTTAGTTAGTTAGTTAGTTAGTTAGTTAGTTAGTTAGTTAGTAGTTAGTTAGTTAGTTAGTTAGTTAGTTAGTTAGTTAGTAGTTAGTTTTAGTTAGTTAGTTAGTTAGTTAGTTAGTTAGTTAGTTAGTTAGTTAGTTAGTTAGTTAGTTAGTTAGTTAGTTAGTTAGTTAGTTAGTTAGTTAGTTAGTTAGTTAGTTAGTTAGTTAGTTAGTTAGTTAGTTAGTTAGTTAGTTAGTTAGTTAGTTAGTTAGTTAGTTAGTTAGTTAGTTAGTTAGTTAGTTAGTAGTTAGTTAGTTAGTTAGTTAGTAGTTAGTTAGTTAGTAGTTAGTTAGTTAGTGTTTAGTTAGTTAGTTAGTTAGTTAGTTAGTTAGTTAGTTAGTTAGTTAGTTAGTTAGTTAGTTAGTTAGTTATTTAGTTAGTAGTTAGTTAGTTAGTTAGTTTTAGTTAGTTAGTTAGTTAGTTTTGTAGTTATTAGTTAGTTAGTTAGTTGTAGTTAGTTAGTTAGTTAGTTAGTTAGTTAGTTAGTTAGTTAGTTAGTTAGTTAGTTTCGGATAATTGATCTGGCAGCCCTGCTCCTGCCTTTGTAAACATCTTGTAATAGTTCTCTCTCTCCTCTTACTGGTTTAGAAACATGTGTTTGTTCGAGTATGTGAATGTTTACATGTTTTGTTTTGCTGTTTTTCGGTTCCTTTTCTTGTTGTCAAAATACTCGTAAAATAAACAACAACAATAACAACAACATTTGTTTTTATTAAACGCCCTTGTTAAGCACTTTGTCACTTTGGCAACACAAAAAAACTCCCCTTACAAACTAACGGGGTTTTCGTTTCAACTCTCTCTTTCTCTTTGTAATTATTGTTGTGGTTTGTTACAATTAAAAAGAGTGTGTTAATTGATTTGTTGTTTTGTTTACATGAAAATTGTTGTTATTTTTCTTTAGACAAGTGTTTATAAACAAAACGGGTTTTGCTCCTGGTTTTCTAATAACAATATTTAACAATTTCATTACAATTTTCAGTGTTTTAATAAAGTTTGTTTAAAAAATAGACAAAATTAAAGAACTTACTGCAATATAATAATAAAAATCAACAAATAAATCCATAACATAAAAAATTTAATAACAAAATAAAAGTTTTTTTATTAAAAAAATGCCTAAACTAAAGAAAATTTGTTAAAAGTTTAAACGTTTATATTGTGCTTTAAATCGATGTGTAAGGAGAAATTAATTTAAGGTGAGTTAACAATTTTTTGCTATAAACAAATTTTTGTTGTAATTGTCATTGTATACCTTTGGCCGAAGAAAAGAATTCAATAAAAAAAAGCAGACAGTTCGCTGGACGCAAAAAAAATCTGAATTGCAGTTTTTTTTTGTAAATGGAAATTTGTAGGCTTAATGAACAATTTTGTTATAAAATATTAATAAAAAATTATTAAATCGAAAAAAACTAAACCAGAGGTACTCAACTTTGCCAAGCTGTAACTTAAGCCAAAATTTATCTAGTTTTATTCCCATAATTAATTGAAAGCTTAATATCTTGAAAGCTAAATTAATATACAAATTTGAAAGCTTTACTCCTTTTCAGTAATTATGCCAATTTCTAAACCAATCGGACCAGTAGTTTTAAAATTTTAGGCCGCTGATAAAAATATTCTAGAATTTCTTGCTTTGACGCCTAATTTTGCTGTACGGTAACTTATCCTAAAGTTTAGTTAATCTTCTCTTCTAAGTAAATTTTGAAAGCTCAACTCCTTGTCTATGGTTAAGCCGAATTTTAATCCCATAGGTCTGATAGTTTTGTAGATTTCGACCTCTAAATAAAATTTTGTAGAATATTGCACTTTGCTTCACTGTAACTTAAACTACAGTGGAACTTTTCTTCCCAACCAAGTAAATTTTGAAAGCTTAACTCTTTATCTGTCATTATAGTTATTTTTAAACCAATCAGTCCAATAGTTTTGCAAATTTCATCTATTGAATAAAAGTTATAAATTATCTCACTTTTGCTTTGCTGCTTAACTTTGTTCCACTGTAACTTAAACTAGAGTGGAACTTTTCTCCTCAACCAAGTAAATTTTGAAAGCTTAACTCTTTATCTGTCATTATAGCAATTTTCAAAGCAAACGGGCTTTAAATACCGAAATTCTAGGGTTTCGAAAATTTTACATTTTTGCTTAAATACTCATTTATTCACTTCTTAAGTTGAAGGGCCACGATTAAAGTTTTGACACTCTACTATGTCCCATTATTACCTTCCTCTATAATGGTCTGACCCATCAATGGTTGCTCTTTAAAAATTTCCCTAAAATTTTCCTTTCATCAAATTTAATACTTTCCCTTTTATTTTGTAATTTTCAAATATTTTTCTTTTCATTTTTAACATCCTTTGTACTCACACCTTTTCTTAATAGTTATTTAGAATAGCTTGTCCCCTAAGCTCTATTGTTCTTGAGCTATTGTTTTAACCAAAGAACATAAAACAACATATTTTTTTGGTCGCATGAAAAAAGTCTAAAGTTTTTTCTATTATTTTCCTAAAAGAGCTTTTAAATCTCTTACCTAGTAAAAAAAACAACAAGAACCAAATCTCATCAGTACTTTGTAACGCATTCATTGGTCTGTAAAATCCCCACTTTTCACAATATTTAGACACTCCTACACCACTACTTTGCAATATCAAACACAAGAGTAGACCACCAGTCCACTATACAAGAAAGTAAAGCCAACCGAAAAAAAACAAACATTTACAACAGATTTAAATGAGTCATGAGTTAGAGATAGCGTCAGTTGTTGTTGCTGTTGCTGGAACCCTTTTGTTTTATGTGGACAACAGAATGAATATACATAGTAAGTTGGTTTTGCCAGAGCCGCTGCTGCGTATATTCCAAGTGTCTTTGTCGTCTATCAGTGGACCATGAATAAATATTGAATTGAATATGTTGAACAAAAAAAAAAAACACAAAATGAATAAAAATTGTGAACATTTTTGCTGTTAAAAAGCGAAAGTGCTGTACTTGCGGGATTTGCTTTGAAATGAATCAAAAAGTGGGTGGCAATGAAAAATAATAGAGTTACACAAAGTGACAAAAAATCGGACAAAACCAAGGAAAAATTCAGACCAGACTATAGATTACAATAAAGTCCAGGATATAACACAAGATTTAATATCCGACCAGACAAGAGTGCCCACTATAGACTACACTATGTTCCAAGCCACAGATTAAAGAACCGACAAGGCGAGAGTGCAGACTATAGACTAGACTAGACTATAGACTAGACTAGACTATAGACTAGACTAGACTATAGACTAGACTAGACTATAGACTAGACTAGACTATAGACTATAGACTATAGACTATAGACTATAGACTATAGACTAGACTAGACTATAGACTAGACTAGACTATAGACTAGACTAGACTATAGACTAGACTATAAGACTAGACTAGACTATAGACTAGACTATAGACTAGACTATAGACTAGACTATAGACTAGACTATAGACTAGACTATAGACTAGACTATAGACTAGACTATAGACTAGACTATAGACTAGACTATAGACTAGACTATAGACTAGACTATAGACTAGACTATAGACTAAACTATAGACTAGACTATAGACTAGACTATAGACTAGACTATAGACTAGACTATAGACTTGACTATAGACTATACTATAGACTAGACTATAGACTAGACTATAGACTAGACTATAGACTAGACTATAGACTAGACTATAGACTAGACTATAGACTAGACTAGACTATAGACTAGACTAGACTATAGACTAGACTATAGACTAGACTATAGACTAGACTATAGACTAGACTATAGACTAGACTATAGACTAGACTATAGACTAGACTATAAACTAGACTATACACTAGACTATAGACAAGACTATAAACTAGACTAAAGACTAGACTATAGACTAGATGGTAGACTAGACTATAGACTAGACTATAGACTAGACTATAGACTAGACTATAGACTAGACTATAGACTAGACTATAGACTAGACTATAGACTAGACTATAAGACTAGACTATAGACTAGACTATAGACTAGACTATAGACTAGACTATAGACTAGACTATAGACTAGCTTAGACTAGACTATAGACTAGACTATAGACTAGACTATAGACTAGACTATAGACTAGACTATAGACTAGAACTATAGACTAGACTATAGACTAGACTATAGACTTGACTATAGACTAGACTATAGACTAGACTATAGACTAGACTATAGACTAGAACGATAGACTAGACTATAGACTAGACTATAGACTAGGCGATAGACTAGACTATAGACTAGACTATAGACTAGACTATAGACTAGACCTATAGACTAGGCTATAGACTAGACTATAGACTAGACTATAACTAGACTATAGACTAGACTATAGACTAGACTATAGACTAGACTATAGACAGACTATAGACTAGACTATAGACTAGACTATAGACTAGACTATAGACTAGACTATAGACTAGACTATAGACTAGACTATAGACTAGACTATAGACTAGACTATAGACTAGACTATAGACTAGACTATAGACTAGACTATAGACTAGACTATAGACTAGACTATAGACTAGACTATAGACTAGACTATAGACTAGACTATAGACTAGACTATAGACTAGACTATAGACTAGACTATAGACTAGACTATAGACTAGACTATAGACTAGACTATAGACTAGACTATAGACTAGACTATAGACTAGACTATAGACTAGACTATAGACTAGACTATAGACTAGACTATAGACTAGACTATAGACTAGACTATAGACTAGACTATAGACTAGACTATAGACTAGACTATAGACTAGACTATAGACTAGACTATAGACTAGACTATAGACTAGACTATAGACTAGACTATAGACTAGACTATAGACTAGACTATAGACTAGACTATAGACTAGACTATAGACTAGACTATAGACTAGACTATAGACTAGACTATAGACTAGACTATAGACTAGACTATAGACTAGACTATAGACTAGACTATAGACTAGACTATAGACTAGACTATAGACTAGACTATAGACTAGACTATAGACTAGACTATAGACTAGACTATAGACTAGACTATAGACTAGACTATAGACTAGACTATAGACTAGACTATAGACTAGACTATAGACTAGACTATAGACTAGACTATAGACTAGACTATAGACTAGACTATAGACTAGACTATAGACTAGACTATAGACTAGACTATAGACTAGACTATAGACTAGACTATAGACTAGACTATAGACTAGACTATAGACTAGACTATAGACTAGACTATAGACTAGACTATAGACTAGGCTATAGACTAGACTATAGACTAAACAATAGATTATACAACATACTAGACTAAAGATTAGACTAGACTATAAACTACACTATAGAATTGACTATAGACTAAACTTTAAGGTTGACTATAGATTAAAACTATAGTCCAGGGCCCAAATTATGGCATACGATATCGATCGAAATCTCCATTTAGATTGTATTGAGATTTCGATCGATATCGTATGCCGTAATTTGGGCCCAGACTGTAGATTAGACTATAGACTAGACTGTAGCTTAAACATTAGTCCAGACTATGGACTAGGCTAAAGTTCAGACTTTAGTCTGGACTATAGTCCAGTTAATAGACTACATATGTATGTATAGTCCGAACTATAGACTAAACTATAGATTATTTGATTTTTTGTAGAAAGTTATCAGCTATTTATCTTTAACTGTGGAAAATTTATGGAAAAACTGCGGGTGGGTGCACTAAAACCCTTTCTTTTTTTTTGTCATCGGCTGTCTAAACACCAGTAGCAGCAGCAGTATATTTTCACACACAAAAACCAACTAAATAAAACAAAAGAACTAAACTTAATAATAAAAACCATATGTTGTTTCAAAAGACAAACATAAATTCATACATATGAATGGCGCAAAAAAAAAATATATTGTAAAACCAAAGTGGACTAAATAAAAAAGGGAATCTAAAGGGTGTCAAAACACTCGCACAGACGACAGTCTGACAAAAAAAAAAAAAAACGAAATGACAATGACAATGACACACACAACATTTAAAAATCAGCATATGAGGAGGACTTCTTTCCCTTAATAACAACATCTGGACTTTATATGTTGTTTTAAATTGTAGTAAAAATATATAAATGAGTCGGTTTTTTATATATATTTTTGTGATAAATTCA